GCCCCCCCTGTCTCCCTGCGCCCCCAGTCCCTCACAGCCACCACCCATCTCTCACAGCCACGCCTGTCTCCCTGTGCCCCCCAGTCCCTCACAGCCACCACCCATCTCTCACAGCCACGCCTGTCTCCCTGTGCCCCCCAGTCCCTCACAGCCACCACCCATCTCTCACAGCCACGCCTGTCTCCCTGCGCCCCCCAGTCCCTCACAGCCACCACCCATCTCTCACAGCCACGCCCCCGCGGCCGCGCATGTACATACCGCTCGACGGGCATCTTCGATTCCTCGCGCTGCCAGATGATCGTTGGCTTCGGGTCGCCGCCGACGATGCAGGCAAACTCAACGCTCTCGCCAGCGATCGCCGTGATGTCCTCGGGCGCGCGCACAAAGTGCGGCTTCACTGCATAGCGAGAGACAAGAGAGCATCAGATGCTGCAGAGGGCGCCACGGGCTACACAGAGTGCGCTACAGAAGCAGCGTGTGTGTGTGCGTGCGTGCGTGTGTGCGTGCGTGCGTGCGTGCGTGGGAGGAGTAGATATACTAAGTATGGTTTCACTGTGTGACGAGAAAGACAATAGTGCGTCAGAAAACGTAGAGGGCACCACGGATGCAACGGGATGGATGGGTGAGTGTGTGTGCGAGAGAGAGAGAGAGAGAGAGAGAGAGAGAGAGAAAGGTACACACACAATGAGAGGACAATGTATGACAACAGCAGACTTAGAGAGCACACCAGACAAACAACCATCATTCATCCCGTCATTCAGCAGTCATTCATCCCGTCATTCAGCAGTCATTCACCACGCAGGCCCGACCGCCGGGCGCACCTCTCTATCATGCAGACCGCGTGCGAGCCTGTTGCTTTTAATTGCCTAAATCGCGCATCCTAATTTTCCTAATTAACAATAATTGCGAGAGCTTCACGAGTCGGGCAACACTGGTCTCGTCATCGGCAGCGGCGGCGGCAGCAGCAGCAGAGGCGCCCCGGGCCTCCGGATGCTGGTCGTCTTGGCAACCGATTGCTGCCTCTGCTGTTACTTCTGACAATGTAATGCTAGCAGAGCCACTGAGACCGCGCCTATGAAAATAGCAAAAGGATAAACGCCCGTCGACGTTCACCGGTGGATGCAGGTTTAACAACACTGCTCAAATCTCGCGCTCCACTTCGCTAAAGCCCCCATTTCTCTCCATTCTCTTTTTCCATTTCAAACGCGCGTTTAACGCGACTCGACATCGGCCAAGATTTAATGCCATCTGGCTGCACCATTTGCGCGCCGAAGACTTTTTAATGACGACAAAAAAATCGTGTAATGGCTGCGAAAAAATACCAACGCGGTACTATAAGACCTTCCTGAAAAGCAGCGCGAGCGCCATAGAAACCTCGCGTGTGCTCTCGCTAAACGACGCGCGATTTTATCTATTACCGGCAGCGACAAAAGAAGTTCGTCACGTGAGAGCACTTGCTTTTACACGCGAGAGATCGCAGACGATGCTGGGTCTCTCACCGATTGGCCCGTATCGCGGCCAATTAAAAAATCGCCATTAAAATGCGTCGAGAATGTTTGCGCCTGCCGCTGTCACAGCAATTATCTTATATCAAAGGCAGATTCGAGGGGCGCGAGTCGTAACTCGGCGCGTGTCCGTCGACCGCGCACAGAAATGGCCGCCGTCACCTTCAATTAGCGTTTTTAATGAGACGCGGCGTGACGCGGCAGCGAAAAACGCGCGCCGCGGCCGCATACTTCACCAGCAATCATTCACTGAAGCTGAAAGAGAGAGGGAGAGAGAGAGAGAGAGAGAGAGAGAGAGAGAGAAAGAGACAGAAAAAGAGTGGGAAAAGGTTAGAGTTAGTTCAAACGAGAGACAACATGAGAGAGAGGGGGAACAGGGAGAAATAAAGAGAGAGCAAGAAAGTGAGAGAGAACGCGAGAATGCGTACAAGAGAGAGAGAGAGAGGGGGAGAGAGGGAGAGAGAGAATGAGAGAGTGAGAGAACGAGAGAGA